AAGTTCAAAATGATTTAATGATTTAAATAAATATTGTTCTCAGTTTTTAACATGCGTCTATCATCTGAATGATTGTATTTATTATGTATTCTGTACTCATACGCAGATTGAAATTAAAATTTATAGTTGGATATCTTGTCTACTATTAATTTCCCATTATCATTCCCATTTTCCAACCATTAAGATAAGATTAAGAACGCGATTTTAATTTTAATACCCTAAATCGAATAAATTTCCGAAAATTTCCAGTTAAATGCCTACAATCCGAAAAGTTTCACTTGCATCGAAGTTTCATAAAATCACACAATTGTTTTTTCTTTATTTTATTTTATTTTAGCCGTATTTGTGGTAATAAAGCTGTCTCATTTTGTTTTGATGCAGATATTCTTTTACTCAGAAAGCAAACGCACGTCGAATTAATGTTTTCATATTTAGCAGATCAGGTATTTCAAACCCGTTTGGTCCTTTTCCTGCTTCCCTGTTTTCAAAAAGGCTGTAGTTGGTTTGGCTCACGTCAAAGGCGGTTCTGCGGTTATTGTTTCAAAATCAGCAATCCTGCAACAGACGTTTAGTGCTCAATAATTTTCATATGGTGTTTTCAGAAGTTACCGTGAATCAAAAGGAAACCGCAAATAGACGTATCAACCTACGCAAAACATATAAACACGTGAAATCGATCTACACAAAACCGCACGTTTTCTANTTGCATATCACGTTACCGTTTACAATTTTGCCTACCTCTTCTAGCATTTCTGGGAAATCTTTTCTCAACTTGTTTATGTGTTTGTCTTTAGAGTGCCTTTTCTTTTCTATTTCCTCCTTATCATCTTCCTCTTCCAAGATGCTCCACGTCATGCTGCCTCTTTCTGCTGTTTTGAATTAAAGTCACCGGCTGTGAGGTAAGGTTTTCAAGGTCTACTTTTTAGTACTCCTTCTTTCCTATTTTGTTATGTATAAATCTTATATGCACAAATTAAGTCTTTTTAAAAAAAAATTATTGAGCAAAACTACAATACACACACGGTGTATGGTCTAGTCTTCAACTGTAGTGAAACGTCTATATTATGACAATGTTTTTGTATTGCAAAATAAACAAAGCAACAGAATTTTACGACTTATTTGCGAAATAAGTAATTTTTTGGTGAGCCGCTATAAAAGTTCCCCAGTTTAATTAATTGTGGGCGGACTAATTGTGGAATTTTGCGGAATAGAATTTCTCGAATTTTTTGCTTTTTACATGGCGAAATCAAGTTCGTTCTGACACGACAAACTCCTGGGTGGCTAATTATTGTCAAAAAAATTGGTTTAAATAGCAATCGGTGTTGGGCTAATTTTATATCAAATAAAAAAGCATACAATATATTTTAAAAAAAAGTACGACATTTTTTTCACAATTCATTAACGACAAAATAACGGCAAATTGTTATCTGTACGATTTTTCGATTGATGCTAATTTTATATACATATAATTTTTGTTATAGTTTTGGATTAAACTTTTTCAATTTAACTTATTATTTATTTCCTCGTTTGACATTTTGACATTCCACAAAAGTGACATCATTGGTTAGCATTTGACTGATGGCGTCATAAACATAATGCAATAGAGTAGGCAAGTTCCTTGCAGCCCTGTAAGTCCTGATGTTACAAAAGATTCCTTTTCTGTAATATTGAAGTAACATTCTTTTTTAAGTATATATGCTGTTGTAAGTTACTGAGACACCAACGTCACTTATGTATAAGCTAATCTTTTAAACGGCTGAATAGATGTTACGGATATGAAGAGGGGGTTGTCAGAAGTCATCTAGGCTACTTTTTTAATAGGTCAAAATAATTGTATTTTTCGGTCGTGGGTAAAAACTAGTTATAAATGAACTTATCTGGTAACAAAGACTTAACTGACTAAAAGAATAAAAGAAAAACGACTATATATCATAACAATACTCGCGAACGATTAATTTAGAAATTCGAAAAAGATTGTTAAAGGTTTTGTTTAGAGCGTGGCGCTGTACGGGTGTGAAACATGGACAGTGGGCGCGGCGGAAAAGAAAAGGTCAGAAACGTTCTAAATGTGGTGTTACCGGCGAATAATGAGGATACCGTGGATAGAGAAGGTTAGAAATGAAGAGGTGTTAGAATGAATAGGAGAACAGAGGAATCTATGGAAGTCAATAAAAAATAGGCGAGACAGATTGGTAGGACCCCTTCTTAGGCATGAAGGTCTAGTCAGAAACATATTAAACGCAGAAATAGTAGTTAGGTGGAGTAGAGGTAGACTTAGATTATATTACTGTTCGCTAATAGTTGAGGATGTGGGATGTTCTAGTTTTAGGGAAATGCGAAGTTTAGCTTAGGATAGGAAAGAGCAGAGGTGCGTGTCCAAACAGTCTTAGGACTGACAACCTTATGATGATTATCATAACAATATCAGGCCGATATTGTAAATGTTTTACTAATGACAGTTGTTTTGATTTTGTTTGCGGTCATTCACATATCGGATCGTATCTATCTAAATTTTTAGACATTTTTTAGTGTATGCTGGGCTTTGAATTTCAGCGTAATAGTTTATTAAAGCAGTCGTTTTTGTTTCAGTTTCTAAAATGAATAAGGCCCTTGTACTCATATAAGCTATTTTGTGATTTTCAAGCATGTCGTTTGTCATTTAGAAGTCAGATCCTAATTTGTAGGCGATCACTTCAGAAGTATAGATACCTATAATTCAAAGCTAAAGATTCAAATTGGGCACATACTTGCTAGAGTTATGAACGAATTTAGAAAATTTTGTTCTTTTCCCCTTATGTTAAAAAATATTCTGACATTACGAGGATAAATGAACGATTTTAAAGTCAAATAACTTATTGGTTTTTAATTACATATTTGTATCTCATCTCAAACGATACAAAATCGTTCCAATTAATGTTCTGTTCAATGTCTAGTTGATAATTAATTAAATGTAAGCAATGGTAGGATTTTAAAGTTTTAGGCATTTCGATGTACTAGGAACCCAATCGTTGCAATAACTTTTGTTTTTTTTTTGTAGGGAGATATACATGTGTTGGACTCAGAAATCGTTAGTTCTGTACCGTATTGTACAATTTAGAGTGCTAATCAAATATATACATATTGATTGTATTTTTAGTTTTAAGTTTANATATGTTAAATTTTGGTCTAAAGGTAGACTATACAAAAATGGGTATTACTATGATAATATATTGATTGTATCTTTAGTTTTAAGTTTAATTTTTATAACCGGCCCTGCGCACAAGTAACTTCGATTACTTCTGCAGGATTTACTATGTAATAACATGTATCTATCTGGTTAAATATATTATTATTATTATCTTTTGGGCGTGGAAACCATGTCTTCCTATAGTTTTGGAAGTTTGATAAAAAACCCAACCCATAGCTAAACGAATCAATGAAAAAATAAGTATTCATTTTGTGGTTCAAATTGTTGTAAACAAAATAAGAGCCCCCGGTTAATGTTTTATTCCGTTAGATTTGTTCATGTTTTTCTATAAGGACTTTTTTACTTGAATCTTTAGAATTATGTTACAGTTGTCGTGGTCAAGTCCTTCGTATTGTTTACGGAAATGTGAACATAATGGTTTCCAAGCCCAATATATACACACATATTAAACATAAACGTTCTGTATTCCTCTACAGCAAAAAGTTATTGCACCGGTTGGATCACTCCAGCTTGATATATAGGATGAGGGCTTCTAGTACCTACATCTAAATGCACGTTAACTTAGAAATCTTGCTGCAGTACGTCACCGTCTGAGACGTATTGAAGCAGAAATTACGCGTGTTTACCGTTTAAAAGAAGTTCGTCTTAATCTGCAGCTTCGAAGGGACGTATTAAAGTAGCGACCTTCAATGTTCGGGTCAATGTCTTTGACTTCTCATTGTTTACATTCGGTTAATTATTAATTACACATCAAAGATGGCATGACATTGATCAATTTGGTAACATTTATTTATTGAGATATGAAGAGAAACCAATGAGTATTTGACTTTGGAAATCGTCCACTTATACCATCTATCACCCTGTTTATAGTTTCATCAATAACAAGTATCTTCAAATGAGGAAGACGAAGAAAGCTAGCAAGTTAAGAATAATTTTACATGTTAATGTACCTTGTGTATCTTCCAATGTCCCCGGTTTTTTTTTTTATTTTGCAAAAATATTTCGAATGAATTGGAAGACAAAAGACCAGAGGTGAATAGTGTCCGGATATATCGAAAACTATTTGTGTAGGTATCCAAGGCTGCATCCGAATTCATTGGGAAAAATATATTCGTTATGTGTTCGCCAGGTAGTTCATAAAGTATCCATAACTAGATACATTTTGCAGCTAAAAGCATCCGCATCTTGTATCCGGTATCCAAAGGACCTTACCGGTATTCGTATCCGATATCTGGATACATTTTACCGGTATTCGAATCCAGCTCTGTTTCATACCTATCCTCTGTGAATACGTACTCTCCTGGGTACTTAAATGAACACTAGGTATTAGAATCAGAGTAGGTATATGCACCTACAGGTACGTATCAAAAAATATTTAACACCTATTTATATAATATAAGGATTATAAGAAAAACAAAGAACAGAACTAGATATTGTATGTAAAGGGTTTAATGTAATTTGTTCGTAATGGTACTCGTCATATGTCTTTTGGTTTTAAATGTGAGGCCAGGCGACAGGTGAAGTCGTGCCAATTCAAATTAAAAGAAGATTACTTATATGTATCCATTTATATAGATACATATATAAATGAAATACCTATGTGGCTACTGTGTGCTAAGTGTGGCGCCTGTAGTGAAATTTACGAGGGACATAGCGGACTGCTAAGCGTGCTAAGCCAAGGCTACGGTACATGTACATTTAATATATCGCACACACACGATACACACATAAAATACGACGTACCATAACTACATATGCGGCAAGAAAATTTAGGCGCCACTCATCTCTATCAAGCGCTATCACCGACGATCGAGTACCATCGTGTGTCTCTTGCTTACTCAGTCAGTTACAATCGAACCTTTGTCAGTATAGGGTTATTTAAGCTGACGATATACCTGTTTGATATCATTCAATACGTGAACTCGTTTAATTTCAACCCTTCATTACGACTTTGGCCCTGAACACGCGTCGAACTCTAACCGACGCTTTGTGAACCACCAATGCGGTTCATAAGAAGCGTAGCGGCAATATCAACCCCCGGTGAATAATCGGTTAAGTTTTATTTTAAAAGTTCACGCAACTACGGTAAAAAAATTAAACTTTTAGTAATGGCATCAACAATCGTGCTCTTTGCTTTCGGACTTGCTGCGGGTTATCAACAGTGCGCACAGTGGAAAGAAATTTTACCCTGCAGTTGTCGCAGTGAAATAAACAGTACCTTCATTACAGTCAATTGCGATGGGTTAAAATCGTATTCGCACGCTGTTCAAGTCCTCCAAAATAAGTTTTCGGCGAAAGACAAAATTGTCCTTAAAATATCTAACTCCCAACTTGATGACCTACCCCTTCATACTTTCAAAGAACTGAACATTAGTTTGGAAAATCTGAAGTTAAACTACGATGATTTAAGGTAATTTTTCTAGGTTTAGTTAATATTTATCGAAAAGAGAATTGATTTATGATTCATTATGCGGTAGTTTTGGGCAAAGTGATCTCTTATGAGATAAATGCGCCTTTTTGTTAAATAAAAAATGAAAATTTCAAATTAAAACAGACACAGTGATAGGGTAAAGTAGTAAACAAACAGGTGTCTTTGTATATTTATCCACACGTACACAGTTTTATGCGTATTTGTATGGACGACATGTATATTTGTAAATTTTAAGCACTAATATTCGTCTAAGAATAATTTGGGAACTGTATTAGTATGGTAAAGGATGTTATAAGATAGACGAATAGACGAATAGAAAAACTTTTCACAGCTACAAGCGTTATAAATTTTGGTAGGAAACATAAGTAAAGAAAATTTCAGGTTATTTAGGCAAAAAATTGCCGAAAGTGTAATTAAAAAGGAATTACTTTTACGATTATCGCAAATTATATTATTACGTTATTTGATGGTCAGACACAAACAGATAAATGTTAAAATTTGACTGTTGTTTTACACTGTAGAAATTCATTGAAAACAGAAACTGATAATGGTAGACATATCCAAATAGTGTACGTGTTTATGAACATTTGAATTAAACCATAAAAGTATATTATGTATTTCAAAGCAAACATATCAAGACTTGGTTGTTTACATATGTAAATCGTAATATTTTCTGTAAATTTAACTTATCAATTTGTACAATAAGTTTTGTGGATATATCCGTAATAAAACTTCTTATATAATAAACAGATAGAAAGCGACTTAAGATTATTTTAATAACATTCCCATTAATCGTAAGGTTATGGAGATATTGTTGCACAGAATTGTCCAATATTACCTTTCCTGTAAACGAAAATTTTGATATGTATTATTAAAAAAAAAATACTTTTGATGTTGTGTATATGTTCCAACTTTGCCAAAACATGTGTCACGAGTGTGTTAAATGTAGGTTTCCTTGTACAAATATTTAATCTTACGACTTTTGTTCAGCACTATCGAGTTTTTGATAACAATAAGAAAACAAAACAAAATCTAAAGTTAATAGAAAACGTGTTTATTTAAATAGGAAATTATAGTAGGTAACCAAGTATTTAATATATAAAAATGTTTGGAATTTATTTAAGTAAGAGCGTAACTTTTGGATTGCGCCAACATTAATGGTATCTAACATGAGGGGTTTGCGCACCCTATTGGTACACCTTATAGTGTACTTAATGTAGTCTTACGGTTCTATTTTGACCCTATTTTACTAAATTATTTAAATTATCTATATAGCATTCACCGCTTATAATTTTATTCTAACAAACCTTAGTTTATATCTACCCTTAACCAACTGTTTGAGGTTAGAACGCACAATTTCCGCTATACCAATAGTCACCACTTTATTTAAAAATGAATTTTATTTTGCATTTTGGTAATCCTAGTTTTCATAATAGTATTGATTAAGTTCAAATTTTTGAATTATTTGCTTTTGATGTTTTATAATTTTTTGGTGAATTTTAAAGTGGTCCTGTGGAATAAACTAAAATATTACGTGAGGTTAAAGGTTTCCTGATTATGAAAAGTATCTTTTTATAATAAAAAAACATTAACTATCGGAACACATTCTACTACTTAGAAATGGAAAATGTAAGGTGGGGTAAGCTATTTTTAATCATTATTAATTGCAGAAAAATATTATAAATAAAAGGTTCATTATTTATTGATCAATCACTAAAAAATATGGATTAAAAAGCTAAAAAAAATGTTTCTCGGCAATTTTTGATTTCCCTCGACCTGAATGATCTTTTGTTAGCATCTTCAACATCCGCCAATTGTTGGCTAGAGCCACATTAAAGCACAATTATCGTATCTGTAAATGATAATTATTGTACCAAATAACTCATTTTATGTTGTATCCATGTGGTCACAATTCAACCAATTCGTGTATTTTACGCATATACGAATGAATTGAAAAAACTTCAGAGTTTACGTATTTTATTAGCCTAAATACAAATCCAATTGTATGCTCTATTAAAAATGTCAACAGCGGAAACTGTGAATTTATTTGTTTATTTACCGATGTTAATACGTTTGTACCTACGCCAACGTTAAATAAGGATATAATTTTGCGAAATTTCTGTGAATATACGTCAGTGACAAATTGTGGGTGTAATATACTGAATCTACAAAATATTTAACAAACGTTTTATCAAACGAATAACATAATAGTAGGCACTTATAGCATCGTATAAAACAATGTAGCACCATTAGATACGTATAACCATATTAGGTAAATTTCTATTAATTAAAAAGTTAAAACGAAATGCTCGTAATGATTTTGATTATTGCGTTAGTTTTTAGAGCTGTCTACCTCAAAACCAGAAAATATGATTCTCATCATTTACGTATTTGTCAGATCATTAAGGCTGATTATCACAAAAGATTTTGCTGAAAATGTGTGTAAAACGTTGATTTCTTCGTTTCAATTCTCCTTTTTCGAAATAATTGCCACTAAAATAATATACAGTAGATGCTTTCTTAAACACTTTGCGAGTTTTTAGTAGTGATAGTTCTGCAGAAATTAGTGTTATTATTATATATTTACAATTGTTGAAGCCATTAGGTTTTAATGAAACTTTGTTGTCACAAATTATTTATGAATTCTAAATTACTGCATACAGTGTAGCAAACGCCATCTGTGGGATTCGACACTAATTGTGACTTTATCAATAAAATTTTGACAAGCTTTTTCTTAGGCATCTATATGTTTTTATCACGTAGTCAGCGGTCAGGTCGATTTCCTCAAGCCGAAAAAAACATTAGTGAACAACGGCGAATTTCTACAGATGGCATTCACTAATCTATCTGCAGTTATTTATTCAACGTTTTTTATTAGCAGCAAGTAGCATGGTCTGTCGAACTGTCTAATGAAAACTAACCATCGCGATCTACATTTTGGCAGGTCCCTGGTCAAGTATTTATTGCTTTAGATCAAGTGCTTCTTATTGAACACTTGTGAAAACTTCAAATAGAAATTTTCCACTATACTGAATTTGAGGAAAGATGCACCTGAGAGTTATAAACTTTTAAGAAAAGTATAACTAATTAATTTTTTGTATTTTTCTATAAAAATAGTATTAAAACAAGGAAGAAAAACCACTTGTAATCATCAAAATATTTTTTCCTTTTAATTTGCCATACCAATATATGTATAATTAGAGGAAATCAAAGCAACCTACACTAGCGAAATTACTACTCTCAAAAGGTATGTAACCTTAAACAGAAAACAAATTATTGAAGGTTAGGTTATGGTTAGGTCTGGTTGCTCTTTTTTGAAATTTAGGATTTTAATTTTTTGTGTATTATTAGGTACCTAAATAGAAAAATAGTTTTTCGCTTCGATATGGTATTAGGTATGATATTTTGATTAATACAAACGTTTTTCTTGTGTTGAAGTTTAAATGCTATTTTTTGTCGAAATGTCTAAACAATTAATAACTTATTAATGTTTGGAAAGGACATTTAAAGGCTAATTTATAAACGTATCAAAAAGTCGATTAAATAAAAACAAACTTGGAATTTGCGGAACTACATGTTAAGACGAGTGAGTGTGGCTGAAAGTACTGAGAATTAGGGTTATCATTGAAGGACCTTATTATATAAAATTTAACGCACTAAATACGTATTTTTCTCATATCTATTACACATTTCCAAAAAGTCGTGAAAAACAAACTGTAGTTTTTTAACCATTTTATGTAAAATACGCATGGCAACTTGAACTGAAATATGTATTTTACTAATTTTTATGACCTTTTTTTGAAAATGTCGCAAAAATAAACTTTTAAGTTTTTTCAACACTTTATTACAATTTTTCAGTTTCACTGAACCAAAATGTATATAATATATTGTTTTAAAAACTTTTCAAGAAAAACACGAAAATACAAAACAACTAATTCTAAGTCTTTTTGAAAGGAGTTTTTCTTGTAAATATAACTTGAACTAATACGTACATATTGTTCTCATACATATTACGCTTTTAGAGAAAATAGACTATTATTATATTTTTCAGCATTTTGTCATAGGTTGAGAAACATCCTGAATTGTAGCAACTTTTATTACCCTCAAATGCAATTTTTCTTATACTTTGACTCACGTTGATAACATTTTCATTTTACATATATATTTACTAGACATAGATAACTTTTGTAAACGTTTGACACTCCATTCGGATTTTTAAATCGTGCACTGTATTGCTAAAACAGTTCCTTTGGCGTTGTGGCGTTCTCAAACATTTGCACCCCTAAGCTGTCTTTCATTCGCCCCTCCTACCTAAAAAATTTTTACGCGTTTTAGAAGGGATGGAAAAAAGCCACTGGCTTGTTTTCTACATATTCTTAAGTTTTGACGAAGAACTAAAGGACACATTTCAGTGATGAAAAGAATTCTTCTTGGTTTTGCTAAAATGCAAAAAAAAAACGAACAAGATCAAGTTGAAGAGTAAGACCGAACGAATAAGACTAAGACTGAACATGCAATACTAAGACCAAGTACGTAAGACTAAACTTCCGCTGGATTTATGATTATCTATATGAAGCAAGTTTTCTTTACTAGATGTTAACACTAAATACAAAAAAAAGAAACTTTACCACTGTTTTAAAAGAGACCTAGAAGAGGGCCCGGAGTAAGTGCTCTTTGTTCTGGTTTGAATAACACATCGTTGCAATATGGAAACAAACTAATTTTTTTTCATTCAAGTACTTTGTACTAATTTGTTCACTAAAAGGTCAATTTATATGTTAGAGGAAGGGTGAATTTGTGCAGACCAAGATTGAGTCTATATCAGCAAGATCAAAACCAAGACTAGAAGTATTTGAGTAAGAGTCTTGACCAAAACCGTATAAGCAAGACTAAGGCTGACCCCTCATTACTAACACGTTTACCCATTACAAACTGAAAACGAAAAAAAACGAGAAACAAATAAAAATAAAAATGCTTAA